GTAATTTGGACCTTCAACCCGTTGGCTGCCATTGAAGTCCACTATAGTATATGGAGAAAAATCATGTACATTTTTCTTCAAAAACCTTAATTTCTTTTAGACTGAAGAAAGACGTGAAGATCTTGGATGACATGTGAGTGAGTAAATTATCAGGAAATTTTAATTCTGGAGTGAACTAATCCTTTAAGTTGTGTAGTGTATTCCAGCCTTTAGAAAGAAATGACAGCAAGCCATAAACCCTGACGAAAACCATCCAAGCCATTTTCCCCAAACCCTAGGGAAAACTGGATTGGATTTTCCTAATCCAAATCTATCAAATTCTAAAGTCTAAAGATTAATCTGAAAAATTTCTTCTTTGGAAAGCTCAACACTTTTCATAGCTGGCAACATAACGTGCAGCAGATGTAAACTTTGTTTCCCTCTCTCGTTCTGTCTAAACAGCCGGTCTCTGTGCAAAACAGACAGTTCTGTCTCAAAGGATGGCGAAAACTAACGTGGCAAATCCACTGTGTTTTTCTCCCTACGTTTTCCCAGTGCGCTCCATTCCACCCGCAGTGTGAGTTTATAGAAAGAGACAGGCCGTGTCCGAGCAAATGAGGCTGTTCTTTGGGAAGGCGGTCGACCCCCTGCCAGGTGACATTTTGGATGGGTTAGTCAACGTCTGAGTGGAGTGACAAGAGCTGGGAGGGCAACTGTATGTGCTCTATGCACTGTGGATACACAACTGTCAAATCTTCATTCAAACTTACAGTATATAACACTGACACTTTCTGGGGGAAGAAGGGACAAAGCCTGTAGGTCTGCTTACTGTAGGTGACATTCAGACTCAGTAAGGTAAGAGCTAGTGCAAGATGAGCATTTGTGGTTAAATGTATACAATTTTTTTTTATTTAAAAAAAAAAAAGATTGATCGTTTCGCTAGATAAGACCATTATTCCTCAGATGGGATCGTGTAGAGTACTTTGAAGCTGCATTGATACTGTAATTTGGACCTTCAACCCGTTGGCTGCCATTGAAGTCCACTATAGTATATGGAGAAAAATCATGTACATTTTTCTTCGAAAACCTTAATTTCTTTTAGACTGAAGAAAGACATGAAGATCTTGGATGACATGTGGGTGAGTAAATTATCAGGAAATTTTAATTCTGGAGTGAACTAATCCTTTAAGTTGTGTAGTGTATTCCAGCCTTTAGAAAGAAATGACAGCAAGCCATAAACCCTGACGAAAACCATCCAAGCCATTTCCCCCAAACCCTAGGGAAAACTGGATTGGATTTTCCTAATCCAAATCTATCAAATTCTAAAGTCTAAAGATTAATCTGAAAAATTTCTTCTTTGGAAAGCTCAACACTTTTCATAGCTGGCAACATAACGTGCAGCAGATGTAAACTTTGTTTCCCTCTCTCGTTCTGTCTAAACAGCCGGTCTCTGTGCAAAACAGACAGTTCTGTCTCAAAGGATGGCGAAAACTAACGTGGCAAATCCACTGTTTTTTTCTCCCTACGTTTTCCCAGTGCGCTCCATTCCACCCGCAGTGTGAGTTTATAGAAAGAGACAGGCCGTGTCCGAGCAAATGAGGCTGTTCTTTGGGAAGGCGGTCGACCCCCTGCCAGGTGACATTTTGGATGGGTTAGTCAACGGCTGAGTGGAGTGACAAGAGCTGGGAGGGCAACTGTATGTGCTCTATGCACTGTGGATACACAACTGTCAAATCTTCATTCAAATTTACAGTATATAACACTGACACTTTCTGGGGGAAGAAGGGACAAAGCCTGTAGGTCTGCTTACTGTAGGTGACATTCAGACTGTCACAGTAAGGTAGTATGTGCCGAATGAGAGCCCGAGAAGCAGTTTATGGTCTTATTGATTATTGCAATTAAAAAGAGCCTTCAGCTTAATCGAAGAGCTGGTTACTCTGTAATATAACATCAAGTGGCATTTTTATCACCACCTTTGAGATTTAGCAGAGTGGATGGTGAATATATCTGGCACCTGTCCCCCCAGGACTCCACCGCATCGAACGGTCAGAGTCGCATCTCGTATAAACACACAGGGTGCTAATTGTCTAAAAGACTCAGAGCTTATCAGCATTCCGTCTCTGCGCCCATGGTTCAATACCAACGGTGAGGAGTTACAATCACTGTTATACTGTGGAGACGACGCTGTAGTTATCTGATCTCATGTTACGATTGGCCTATAATTGGTTTGCATTAAATGACATCCAAATAAATTGGATTAGGAGAATGCCTTTGATCAAATGCATGATTTTATCATCTTCAGGACACCATTATGCAAATGATTTTGTGTGAGGTGTCATAATGCCACTCTGTAAGCAACTATATGAATCGTATGAAGCATAACAGTGGCAATAAAGTTTCTAATCATCTATGTATAGACTTAAATTGAATGGTGGTAAAAACTTTTAATGGAATGTATAGGTGGGCTCAAAACTGCAAAGTTTGAGAAATCTTGAACACTTAAAGGGATATTTCACCCAAAAATGAAAATTCTGTCATTAATCACTCATATCGTTCCAAACC